ATATCAATAATTTAGTGACACAAGTTTGAAAGATTTCTATCGAAAATTTGTCTTCTTGAGAACAGCTACTAAATCATTGCACTCTTTACATCTCTAGATTGAACAAACATAAATTGAAATTGATAGTATTTCCTGATATTTAACATGGATAATAAATATAGATCTCACAGTTCAACAGTGCTTATTCCAGTCAACAACTTTTCAATTTTGACCAATAACAAAGGTCAATGAAAAGGTCTCCGAATGATCATGAATGTCTTCTCTCTGCAGCTCAATTCACCTACGAGTTCTGTGTTGACGGGTGGACACCATTCTACAACACCCACGAGCCCAACCCACTCAACCCTCAGGACGGAGACTTCGAGCCTATTGACCAGATTGTGACCACCTACAACCTCTGTGGTGGCAACCCTGACATGGTCGAGGCCATCAACTGTCGCGAGGTGCCAACATCATCTCTTCTTCTGTCAGAGCTCTAAGACTTGCACATCATTTTTGTGTATACATGTATCAAAAATTCCCCATTACACCAAATGTGACATATGTTATGCATACATTTTGTCAACAGCTTCTTATAGAATTGAGCATCACTTCCCACTCTATTTCAATGTACAGCAGTATTTTAGATATATGTGGATAGAACAGTCCACTCCACCTTATTTCCATGAAACCTTAATTAATTTCTGTCCATGTAGGTTGGTTCTCTTGCTCCATGGGACAGCACCGGTGCCGCCGGCCTGGTGTGTGACACCACCAACGGCTTCTACTGCGCCAACAACCAGAACTACCCAGTCGGCTGTGACGATTATGAGATCAGCGTTCTCTGTAACTGTGGCGAGACCACCACTGAGGTAAGTCTCACAAGTAATAGTTGAACATCCATGATCTTTACAAAGAAACTAGACCACACCGGGTTGATTTTTTATTTGCTTGCCACCATGCAATTCAGGCTTCTTCTACAAGTGTAGGAAAGGTGTTCAAATGATGACATTAGTGTCCATTTGACGTCCGAACGGCAACATTATGATCGACTATATTCTTAGAATGGGTACATTAACAATATAATTGATATTAACATTGCCGTCCACACTAAAATTGCAGTTTGAATGTCAGAATGACTTAACACCTTTCCTACACATGTACAGCTATACATGTTTGCACTATTTCTTTATTTTTTTCACTTTGAAAATTAAGCTACATTAGCTACAACTAGAATTATGCAAACTTCTTGAAACATCTCCTGATAGGTGTTCACCACCAAGCCTACACAGACCCTGACCACCATTGGCACCCAGACTACTGGTACTACCACCACCCTGGCCACTGCCAGCACCACCAAGCCAACCATGGTGACCGAGACCGTTGCCCAGACAACAACCGTCGGCCAGACCACCACCGTGCCTACTCAGACCCAGACCTCCATTGGCACCCTGCCTACTGGTACCACCACTACCCTGGGTACTGTCAGCTTCCCAACAGACACCACCACCCTGGCCACTGCCACTGCTTCCACCACCAACCCAGTGATTCCCACTGAGACCATTGCTCAGACAACAACCATCGGCCAGACCACCACTCAGGGTACCACACCACAGAGCACCACTGCCACCATCGGTACACTGACACCCACCATGGCTACCAGCACTCTGAAGCCTGTCACCACTTCCATTGGCTCTGGCACCCAGGTACTGAGGTTGTCACCTTCACCGAAGGTACCACCCAGCAGGTTACCACTACCCAGCAGAGTACCACTGGTACCACCACCACCAAGCCAGTCACCACCACCAAGCGTAAGTACCTCTTCTAGAGCAATGTCTTGACAATTATTACACTACCTTACAGCTCTATTTGACCAAACTAAGTCAGTAGTCAGTAAAATGTATAACTGACAAAGCATCTCCTCTGAAACATGGATTGTTCTCATGTTTCAACTTTGCTTGTTTCTTGCATCTTAACCTAAATATATTTTTTATTTAGACCTTCAAGGAATGCAGAAATGGTACAGTTTTATTTGCCTTCAAGTTGTCTTTTCAAAGCATTTATGATTGTTTTTACTGTTATACAGCTCAATTCACCTACGAGTTCTGTGTTGATGGATGGACGCCGTTCTACAACATCCACGAGCCCAACCCTCAGGACTTCCAGGACGGAGACTTTGAGCCTATTGACCAGATTGTGACCACCTACAACCTCTGTGGTGGCAACCCTGACATGGTCGAGGCCATCAACTGTCGCGAGGTACCAGGTTTCCGTAAAGCCTCAAGAGATCTAGCTTTTTTTGATACAAGAAAATGTCATAACGTTGACTGTATGATGTTCATGTACATCTTTCATGCCTACATTTTGTGTTATCCTTAGATTGATCAATCAAAATAATTTGTGTCCATGCAGGTTGGATCTCTTGCTCCATGGGACAGCACCGGTGCAGCTGGCCTTGTGTGTGACACCACCACTGGTTTCTACTGCTCCAACTCTCTCAACTACCCAGTTATGTGTGATGACTACGAGATCAGCGTTCTCTGTAATTGTGGCGAGACCACCACTGAGGTAAGTAGTACAAGACTAAGTACACTAAATTCAATATTTCCTATCTTTAAAACAATGCATCAGCACTATATCTATCTTCATGTAAAAAATTTCGGAAAGGATGCATGTACAGTTAACAACGTCACTTAGTAATTTCTTAATAAACATTTTCCAATGCAGACCCTGACCACTACCACCACTCAGGGCACCACCACCACCAAGCCACTGGTCACTGGTATCTTTGAGACCACTGGAACCACCACACCACAGATGGTCACTGGCACCATTGCCACTGTGACCACCCCTGGCCAGACCACCACCAGTCAGTTCACCACCATCCCAACACTCCCAGTCACTGGTCAGTATCTGTAGGAGATACCTGCTGCATTGTTTAGTCTGCTGATGAGCAGAATCTGCTTTTGCATGATGTTGGGCTGCTTAGCACAGCTTAGTTTACTCTGCCTCTGTTTTTGTAAGGCCGACTCTAGCAAAAGTCCACCAACCCTAGCCTTTTTCTGGTCAACCGCTGGTACGCAATGTACATGTATGGCTGCAAAATTTTTATCTGAATTTCAAACCGTCTGGATTCTGATGATGCATTTTCAGAAGCATTTTGTTCCTCTGAATCTGCAAATAGAGTTAAATATTTTTCCACAAGCAACAAAGTGGATGGGTCCTTGAGAAAAAACTACCTCCCGACCATAGTTTTGCAGAACTGAAACCGGAAACACAACATTACAGTTGCTAGGCCCAACCAATATGAAACAAAAGAAATATTCCCTCTTCCATGTCTCTGACCTGTGCTGTACCCTGTGCCTCAGGCTGTCCGGAGGATGCCGAGTACTGGACACCGTTCCTGAACATCGACCAGCCCGACGCCGGCAATGACAATGGTGACCACGAGCCCATGGACCAGCTGCAGGCCCTCTTCCACTTCTGTGACAAGGAGATGGTTGACGACATTGTCTGCAAGGAGACCGTCACAGGTCAGTCATTCTGTAAAAGCCATTCTTTATTCAGAATTCTGCAGTAGAGTGGTCATGTAGTGCAATGACAGAGCATTTGGCTATGACCCAAGAGGTCCCGGGTTCGAATCCTTCCCTGTGTGTTTGGGAAAGGTGCTTAACATGAATTTCCTCACTTCACTCAGGTGGAAATGAGTAGTACTACCTAGCTATGACAACTGCAGTAGCAGCATTCTTGTTTGTTTTTTCCTTGTGTATTTTTTTGGCCTTTTTGTTCTTCCTAAAACAAGTACACTTTGAACCCTACACAGGTCTGCTGCACACTGATACCAACCAGATGGTCACCTGCGACATTGTCAATGGTTTCCACTGTGACAACGCCATGCAGAAGCCTGGAGAGGTCTGTCACGACTACGCTGTCTCTGTCCACTGTGACTGCCGCGAGCCAACCACCACCGAGCAGGTCACAACCACCACAGCTAAGCCTACCACCGCAACGGCTGGTACTACCACTGTGCCCGAGAACCCAACCACCACCAAGCCCATCACAACTGCCGAGACAACCGTTGTCACTGGTACAACCACCATTGCAGGTGAAGTGGTCACAACCACCCTGCCCATTGGTGAAGTGACCACTGAGAAGCCAACCACCACCCAGCAGGTCACCACCCAGACTCAGCTCTTCACTGATACCACTGTCCAGACTGGAACGATGACCACAGGACACGAGCAGACAACATCCGGCCAGTTCACTGTCACACAGACAACATCTCAGACTGAGCCCACTACTTCCATTTCTGTGGAAGGTTAGAGAATCCGTACATAATACTCATTGTCTGTTTAAAGTCAAAACCTTTGTTCCAACACAAGAGCTATTGACCAGTCACTCCAGTCTTCTTTAACAGAATGACCGAGTCATTGTTAGTCTGTATGTTGTAGATTTGATAAAAATGCCAGTTTTGTAATTTGAGAAGTACAGTTTCTAGTTTGTATTCAAAACAATGTATCATTGTTTTCTACTATTTTATGTTCTTCGTTGTTCAAAGGTTATACTGCTATGAATTATGAAATTTGAGTTTGGACAATATTATATTGAATCATTAGCTCTCACTGAGGCATTGCCAAAACTTAATTGTCTACCACTATCAAAGATTTATCACAACAGAAACTAATTTCTATCCAATTGTTTTGCTTCGGTCCAGGATGCAAGCCTGGCCAGCAGTTCTACTGGACTCCGTTCCTGAACGTGGACCGTCCCGACACTGGTGCAGACAACGGAGACCACGAGCCCATTGACCTGCTCCACACTCAGTACCAGTTCTGTAGCAAGGACATGATCACTGACATCATCTGCAGGGAGGCTGACACTGGTCAGTTGTTTGTAGACATGGATAGAATTTTCCCACTAGAATAGAATTGTCCGCTTCAAAGCAGGATCAAAGCAAATCTATTCTGCTTTTTCTGGACAATCCTATCCTAGTGGGAAAAGGGCCTTGGATTCAACATAAATCACAAATGCAAATGAAGAAAATATGCATTCATATCTGTAACGTACAGTAGTAGAATTTAAAAATCTATCATATAAAGTGTTATAGTCAAAGTAATGCTGTTGAAGGAAAGATCCCATTTGATTTGACCCACTGGCTGAAATGTAACAACTTTGTTGCATGATTTTCTAACTTAACAGTAACTTCTTGCCACTTGTTGTTTCCAAAAACATGTGCACTACATTAATATTAGCCTTGTAATCACTATGTATGTATGAACCATTGATGTTTTGGTCCCATTCAGGTCTGATGCACCACGTGAACAGCCAGGTCGTCACTTGTGACATCATCAACGGCTTCAGCTGTGACAACAACATGCAGGCTCCTGGTGAAACTTGCTACGACTACGAAGTGTCCATCAAGTGCAGCTGCATTGTGCCAAGTAAGTTTACCATTATAGAAAGCATAATTTAACAATCTTCAAGGCTTTGCATTTGCTTTCCTGCGCTGATACCTTAGTCCACTATTTTTCGAACATTGAAAAAAAATGCTCTCCATTGTGAGCTAATTGTTGTATTTCTATCTACGTCAATGCAGCTACACAGCAGATCACCACTGGTACAACCACCCAGCAGGTCACAACCACTAAGCCATTCAGCACCCAGGAGGTCACCACCACCAAGCCAGTCATGACCACTGGCCACACAACAACCATCGCAGGCGGCGAGTCCACAACCACCCTGCCCATTGGAACACTGCCCACTGATACAACCACCCAGCAGTTCACCACCACACCTAAGCCTACCACAGCAACGGCTGCTACTACTACTGTGCCAGCCAACCCAACCACCACCAAGCCCATCACAACTGCTGAGACAACCGTTGTCACTGGTACAACCACCATCGCAGGTGAAGTGGTCACAACCACCCTGCCCATTGGTGAGGTGACCACTGAGAAGCCAACCACCACCCAGCAGGTGGTCACTGATACAACCACCCAGCAGGTGCTCACTGATACAACCACCCAGCAGGTCACAACTGAGAAGCCAACCACCACCACCAAGCCCATCCAGACAACTGGAACCACCATCCAGACTCTGCCAACCCTGCCTCAGGAGACCACCACTACTCTGCCAGGTGTCACCACCACAGCTACTATCACTGATACTGGTGCCACCCAGACTGTGTCCATTGGAACTACCACACCAGTGGTAACCACCCAGGCCATCACTCTGTCACCTATGTGTGTGCAGACTGGCTGGACCAACTGGATGAACCTGGACAGGTAAATAAACAGGAAAACAGGAGACAGAGAACATTGGAACTAAGATATGTAGACTGAAGATGTAAAGAACATGTTTTATAAGACAGGTGAATGCATTATCTTTTTGGAAAGTTTTGGTGCTGATGATTTGTTTGATGATATTGCATTTTGGTTTTGAGTTCAAAAATATTGATTCATCCCTTTTCTTTGTTCTTGTTCTTGCAGGCCACTGCTTGGTACCAACAACGGTGACGTTGAGTCCTTCGACTCTCTGCGCCAGAAGTACCAGTTCTGTGACAGGATGGACATGACCATGGTTCAGTGTCGCGAGGTGAGTACACAACTTGTTTTCTTGAGATTCATAATAAGACTGAGGTGTACATGTAGATAAAGGTTTTGGGCATTCTCAGTTCAGAGGCTGTCAACACAGCAGCGATATTGATGGAAACGTGACGTCTGTCTTGCAGGTTAGCACACAGGTGGCATCTAGCATGTCCGGCCAGAACGTGCGCTGCAGCCTGGACCACAACGGCTTCCAGTGCCTGAACGACAGGCAGCCCGATGGTCAGCTCTGCAAGGACTACGAGATCCGCGTCTTCTGTAACTGTGGCGAGAGTAAGTGGGTTAAATTATAATGACTGCCATTTGACCTCTTTTGTCTTGAAAAAAAATCTGTAATCTTAGGTTATTATCAAGGAATACTGGCCTGACACTTACATGTATCTCATATTAGAATTTGTCAAGTAAACATGTTCTCTAAGTCTAAAATATCCGAGTCCATTTTGTCCCTCCTTCTGAAAGTTGTCAGCCTCGGTGTATTACTTTATTCATCCTATTGCAGTTAACAAAGCTGACATGAAAGCTACCCAGCTGCAGGGTATCTTGTTATTTTGTCTCATTGTTTTCACGCATATAACAAGTTGTTCGGTTTCTTCTCCTCAGCAACTCTTGCCCCAACAACAACTGCCGCAACAACAACCACTGCTGCGACAACGACTCTCGCTACAACACAGACTGCCCCAGTGATCACCACCACCCAGAAGCCAACCACAGCCACTACTACCACTGTCCCAGCCAACCCCACGACCACCCAGACCACAACCACCCAGGCCACCACCACTCCGGCGGTCTGCGTGGACGGCTGGACTCCATGGATCAGCTCGGACAACCCCGCCAACCCAACCCACCCCAACACCGGCGACATTGAGACCATTGACAACCTCCGTGACCGCTACGCTTTCTGTCAGGACAACATGATCGTGGAAATTGAGTGCCGCACAGTCAACACTATGGTAAAGAAACATTCATCAATGATGTTTATGTGCCTTTATTCACGACTTTTTGTGTGAGATTTTCTGCGACCACAAGTTTGGACAATCTATCGGATATATTGCTGTTATCACATGGTGCAGACTTATAGAGCTTTTTTTAATGCACCAATTATAGCAACCTCATTATTTTAGAGTGAAGAAAACATTCCATCTATTGTTGACCTTACCAATTGTCTTCAAAACTTTTTCTAGGTTTAGTATGATGTGAATATGATCTTTTAGTGGCATACATGTCTAGGGTATCTTCAGTACAAACCTAAGGCTCTTATACTCTTCTTAAACTCTAGAATTTCTTTCCACAGACCCTTACATAATATTCCCATTTCTCCTATGCACAGATTGACTCTGATGCTACTGGCCAGAACGTGATCTGTGATGTGAACCAGGGTCTCATCTGTGTGGATGCCTTCCAGCCTGATGGCCGCAAGTGTGAGGACTATGAAGTAAGGATCAACTGCCAGTGTGGAAGTAAGTTAACTCTACATCTTTCTCTCCCTTTGTAAGAAAAGCCAAAGGGTACTGTAGTTCACTTTATGTTGACAGTAGCGAAAGTTCATGGTGTGAGAAAAATTGAGGTGTTCGCAGTGGCAGCAGGTGCATAAAAAAGAAAGTCGGCAAATTAAATGTGTAGTATATTTCATCATATAATGCATAGCTAAGGTGATAAAAAAACAGCGTACATTTAATTAAAACCCATTTTTCTTCGCTATCTATCACAGTGTGATTTTTTTCATCTAAAGCTATAATGATTGATATTCCACCATATGTTCTTTAACAACCACAGCAACTCCAGTACCTGAGACAACCACCACCCTGCAGACCCAGACCCAGACTCTGGGAACCCTGCCGACCCTGCCTGGGCAGACCACCACTCTGAACCCTGTCACCACCACAGCTGTTATTGTTGATACTGAAGCCACCCAGACTGTGTCCATCGGAACAACCACCACTGGCAAGCCAACCACAACTCTCTCCACCACCAAGCCTACCAGCACCCAGGTCTTCACTGACACCACCACCACAACTACCCAGCAGACAGTGACTACCACCAAGCCTGAGGAGGTGACCACCACCCAGGCTACCCCTGGTACCCTGCCTACTCTGCCTACCACCACTGGTACCACTATTGGGTCTGTCACCACCACCATCGGAGAGTTCACCACTCAGACCGAGATTGTCACTTCCAAGCCCACAGATACCACCACCTCTCAGGTATATGCTTCACACAAAAGTGGATGTTTAAAGTTTATGGTGTCTTTTTATGGTGTCATTGTTTCATACAAGAACTATCGTGTCAAATTCATTCCACCTGATAACATTATTTTCAGGGAATGTGAAGATATTTTGTAGCTTTTCTCAAACAAACATGCCTACTTGATGATTGATTCTATCAATGACAATTACAAGTCTTTCTCGTGTTCAATCATTTTTTCTTAGTTGGTCATATGTAAGTGTTGACTAGATCTATTGGTTCATTAGTGACACTGAAGAAGAGTGGTGGATGTCACTCATAATGTACAGAAGTAATTTCCATAAAATTCAGTAGTAGAGCTTGAATTTTCTATGTTTACCTTCCATAGTTCACCACCACAACCATGCCTACCAAGCCTGTGACTGAGTCCACCACCACCACTGGTGTGTCTGACCAGACCTTCCCACCGATGTGCTTGGTGAACGGCTGGTCTCCGTTCATGAACGTGGACTCTCCTCTCACTGCTCCTGGTGACCTGGAGACCATCGATGCCCTGAGGCAGAAGTACACCTTCTGTGCCTACCCGGCCATGATCGAGTGCCGCACCGTGGACACTCAGCAGACTCCTCAGGTATGTCTTCAACAACAAATAATAAAACTGATGTCAGTTTTGGATTTGATGCAATTGCCAGGTGGGTAGAGTGCTTGCCTTGCATTCGGTAGGTCGTGAGCTTGATCCCCGGTCAAGTCATACCAAAGACTTTGAAAATGGTACATACTGCTTTCTCTGCTTAGCACTCAGCACTACACTACTAGCAGTGGACTAGCCCCACTGTGATTGCACAACTGTGTGCCCCAAGGGCTACAGAACATCCAACAAACGAAAAAAGATGTCTTGAAGTTTCGAAGAAAACAGGAAGACATATTAAATAATTTTGTACTTCTTCCCTGTGTGATCATATAGTAGCCTTAGATGACCCAAGTTATAAAAGTCATGTACAGAAGAGTTGACTTTCTATCACACTTGTTAACAGGATGCTGGAGAGAAGGCCACATGTGACCTGACCAACGGCCTGGTCTGTCTGAACGAGGACCAGAACTTGGGTCAGACTTGCTCTGACTACGAAGTCAGCGTCTACTGTATCTGTGGAAGTGAGTACTAGATCTCTGAGTAATTTCCAACAGCCACATATTCCTTCAGTTCCATCATGTATAAAGGATTATCAATTTTGTAGGTTAATAAATATCTTTTACTAACTATTGTTCCTTTCCTATCTCTCTTCAGCCACTACCCCACAGACAACAATCACACAGACTGTTGTTAGTGAGACAACTACCCTTGCCACAGGCACTACAACTGCCCAGACACCAGGCACTGTCACACAGACTGTTGGTACAACCACCCTGGCCACAGGCACTACAACTGCCCAGACACCAGGCACTGTTACACAGACTGTTGGTACAACTACCCTGGCCACAGGCACTACAACTGCCCAGACACCAGGCACTGTCACACAGACTGTTGGTACAACCACCCTGGCCACAGGCACTACAACTGCCCAGACACCAGGCACTGTCACACAGACCGTTGTTGGTGAGACCACCACCATTGCCACCGCACCAACACCAGGCACTACAACCACTGCCCAGACACCAGGCACTGTGACACAGACCATTGGCACAACCACACTTGCCACAGACACTACAACCGCCCAGACACCAGGCACTGTTACACAGACCGTCATTGGTGAGACCACCACCATTGCCACTGCCTCCACAACAACCAAGCCTCCAGTCATCAGCACTGACATCTTCACCCAGCCCACAACCACAACCGAGCGTCCTCAGCCACAGATCATCTGTGTTGAGGATGGCTGGACACCGTGGATGAACTCTGACACTCCATCCACTGGCCCCAACAATGGTGACTACGAGATCATCCCTGTGCTCAGGTAAGTTGCAACCTGGAAAGCAAACTCTGAAAAATTCAGTCATTTCTTTTGACACAGCAGACAACAATGACTACATTGTATAAAGTCACACTGGTTTAATTAAATGGATGACATTCTCTGAAGACCCCAAAACTAATGCAAGAGGGCAAATAAAAAAAATCCATCCAGAAAAAAAAATGCTGCTGAATCAGAGGAATGCAAGGCTCGGGTACATGTATTGTAATTTGCGGTAGTACATGTGTACGAATAATGATTTTTACAACAATTTGGCACAATAGATTCAACTACATTCTAAGAACCCTGAAAATACAAAAATTATCACTGGTTTACAATCTTTCTACAGGGACGAGTATGCTTTCTGTGCCAATGAGATGATTGTGAGCGTGGAATGCCGCATCACCGGAACTGCCCAGAACATCGCTAACGGCGAGAATGGCGTGACCTGCACCGTTGATGACGGTCTGCGTTGCGACAACAAGAACATGGCCATCGGGGAACAGTGTGACGACTATGAGATCAGGTTCTACTGCGACTGCGCTGAGGGTAAGTCATTATTTGGGCTCTTGCTTCGACTCATTGTTTCATAAAGTACATGACGTTGTAACAGTGGGGTTCAAGCACCACTAACTGACCCAATCCAATGGGTCCAGACCTACATTCTGTACCTGTACGTAAGCACGTTGCATTCGTAAGCCGACTGCCCAAGTTCCGGGTGGGTTAGATTTCCGGGAGCCAGGGTAGACTGTACTACTCACCTCTTGTTTCATTGGTTTTCATCAAATTTTTACTTTTCTGTTGGCTCTCTGGTTAACATTTCTACAATGTCATTTCAGAAACCACTGTTGGCACAACCACCACTGTTGGAACCACCACCACCATGCATGTGGACACTACCCCCACTCCCATTGTCACCGTGACCACCACCCAGAAGCCTGAGGTGACCACCACTCTGGCCACCACCAAGCCTGAGGAGACCACCACCACCGCCCAGCAGACCACCGAAACCGGCATCTTCACCACCATCATGACCTGGTTCACGTCTACCGGCTCTACCACCACACCCAAGCCAGTCTCCACCACCCAGCTGCTCACCACCAAGCCCACGGAGACACAGACCGTTCCAGAGACAACCGCCACTCAGGTCATCACCACTACCACAGGCAAGCCAACCACAGGCTCCACTACCACCCTCCCAGCCAACCCCATCACTGAGACCTCCACCCTCAAGCCTACCACTCCCGAGGTCTGCGTGGATGGATGGACTCCGTGGATGAGCTCCGACAACCCGAGCAACCCCACCCACCCCCAGGGTGGTGACGTCGAGACCATTGACAACCTGCGCGAGCAGTTTGCCTTCTGTATGGACGACATGATCGTGGAAATCGAGTGCCGCACAGTCAACACCATGGTGAGAATGTTTCCCTCACGTGTATCTTCTCCTGTTCACTGTTAGCAGTTATGTTGTAGGCTCGTAGTATTGAGAACTCAGAAAACTATGCTTTTCCTGCATATCTTATCATTCTTCCTACAGTGAAGTGACTGGTGTCTTTGCTTTTTTAGGTTTCTTCTGATGCCACTGGCCAGAATGTGGTGTGCGACGTCAACCAGGGTCTCCTCTGTAGCGATGCTGAACAGATGGACGGCCGCAAGTGTGAGGACTACGAAGTCAGGATCAACTGCCAGTGTGGAAGTAAGTTTCTCCCCATCTGCCAAGAGTTTGGGAGCTATGGGCTATATAACTTTAAACTGTAACGAGAGAAACAAACAGTCCGGGTTCATCATACATGACTATGACATTTGTAAGTTATAAGTTTGAATTATCCACTAAAGGCATTTCAGCATGTTTTTTTTTGCTATTGTTGTCCAATAGCAAAGTTCTTTTATTCACAACCACTTTTTGTTAACACGAGCCAAAGTTTCGATGACGGTCTGTCATCTTCATCAAGGCTGATATGCTGTTGGTGTTGTTGTAGTTGCATTGTCCTCATCAAACAGTACGCTCCTGGCAGTTTATTTCTGTACTACAAACAAGTTGTTTACATGAACCTTTTGAATTCTTCAGCAACTCCAGCACCTGAGACAACTACTACCCAGCAGGTCGTGACTGAGACCAGCACCCTGCAGACCCAGACTCTGCCAACTCTGCCGACCCTGCCTCAGGAGACCACCACTCTGAACCCTGTCACCACCACAGCTGTTATTGTTGATACTGAAGCCACCCAGACTGTGTCCATCGGAACAACCACCACTGGCAAGCCAACCACAACTCTCTCCACCACCAAGCCTACCAGCACCCAGGTCTTCACTGACACCACCACCACCAGGCCTTTCAGCACCTCTGCTTTGACCACACTCCTGACTGAGCTGACAACCACCACCAACAAGACTCCGTTCCCCGCCATCTGTGTGGACGGATGGACTGACTGGATGAACGCTGACAGCCCAACCAGTGACGACAACAATGGTATATCCACATTCTCGTCATCGCTAATTATAACTAGAAGTAGAACTTCTATTTTTAAGCAAGGAACAACATCCACATCACATGATTGCTTCTTCCCCTTCTAATTATAGAGTTCGGAAGGCTTTTGCTGTGAATCTAAAGCACATCTGATCTTGGATGATTTCACGTCATTCATTCACTCACTCACTCACTACCCGGTTTAGCATCTGTTGTTCCCCATCTTCCAAGTGTTAGTTGTGTTCGTAAATTGATGCTGAGGCTGAGGACATCCCGCAATTTGCCTCTAACCTGTGGGTTGACGGTATGTAGGTTAATGTGGTAGAAGTCGTCTCTTATGTTGTCAATCCATCTCTTTTTCTGTTGTTCTGTAAAATAAGCCATAACTGCCCGTTCCAGGTGACGTTGAGACCTTCGACAGCCTGCGTGAGATGTACAGCTTCTGCGCTGAGAACATGATCATCGACATTGAGTGCAGGACCGCCACCCTCGGCGCTCCGTTTCAGATCTCTGGAGATGTCGGCGTGACTTGTGATGTCACCAACGGTCTGACTTGCAGCAACGACATGCAGGGCAACTCCCTGAACTGCCAGGATTATGAGATCCGTGTCCTCTGCCAGTGCTGTAAGATATTACTTCTTGTCTCTTTTTGCATTAATGAAACAACTCAGTTAAAGGCTATCATGTTATAATACTAACTAACCCTAACCCACCCGGTTTAATTGTCGAACCATATGAGAGTCATAAACAGCTGAAAGTCAAGTTCAGTACAGGTAGCCAGCATAACTACATGTGGCTGCTAACATGCACATTTAGTTGCAAACTTGACTGTTAACTGTTATTATACATTGTAGATGTCACAGAACAGGCATATTTCATATAATAGCCCTTTTTGACACAAATCTTTTCTGTGTTACAGCTGAGACCACCACTGCTACCACCACCCAGCAGACCACCACTCTGGCTACAACCAAGCCGACTGAGGTCCAGACCACCAGCGCTACTGAGAAGCCAACCACTACTATTTCTCAGGAGACCACAACCTTGGCTACACAGACCACCACTGGTGCTACCACTGCTACTCAGCAGACCACCACTCTGGCTACAACCAAGCCAACTGAGGTCCAGACCACCAGTGCTACTGAGAAGCCAACCACTACTATTTCTCAGGAGACCACAACCTTGGCTACACAGACCACCACTGGTTCCACCACCGCTACTCAGCAGACCACCACTCTGGCTACAACCAAGCCCACTGAGGTTCAGACTACCAGTGCTACTGAGAAGCCAACCACCACTATTGCTCAGGAGACCACAACTCTGGCTACACAGACCACCACTGGTTCCACCACTGCTACCCAGCAGACCACAACTCTGGCTACAACCAAGCCCACTGAGGTCCAGACTACCAGTGCTACTGAGAAGCCAACCACTCCTGTCACCACCACAGCTATTGCGAACCCGACTACACCACCCAAGGTACGTCACAATTTACAGCTTAGAGTATCCTGCTCCTGATGAAATGTAGACACAAGTACAATGTATATTGTTTATCTATCCCATTTGCTGTCATTGCAGTCAGCTCTTACGTTGTAGTGTAGTGCAGACTATGTCTTCAAGACTGGTACTATTACGTAAATCCAGATCTGATTGACTACATGTAAGTACGGCATGATAGCGTCGTGGCTTTAGAACATTTAATAGAACGTCACCAAGATAACCTTACATCGAGATCTTTTAGGCTTCTAAATTCTTTTCTCTGCTTGTCCTCAGGTTTGCGTAGATGGATGGACACAGTGGATGAACGTTGACAAGCCAAACTCCAACACCATCGGTGATGTTGAGACCATCGCTAACCTGGAGCAGAAGTACAGCTTCTGTGAAGAGGTAAAATACATTGGTTGTACAATGTACTTTTCATTTGAGTCCTCTATGTTACTTATATATTTTTGACCAACATCTTTTAACATCATTTTTTTTTCAATTTACAAAGATTTTTGTAGCAGACGGTCATCATGGAATTGTGTACTCAAACCACTGGCAATGTGAGGGAAAATGAATGTAATCAAATGCAACAAGGATGATATTGAAAAACACCCTGGCAATGCTGTATGCTATTGCTTTTTGAACAGTTTTATGCAATTTTGTATTGTGTAATGGGTCATTTCATCAAGTGAGCTTTTAGGGATATCATGGCCTTTAAATTGTGTAGGACTATAGACAGGGTTAATGGTGTTGGGGCAAGTGCGTTTAGCACCAGGGAGAGGATCCACAGTGGCGTTGGTAATATGCTCAGCACCAGTGACAAAAAACTTACATGTTTCTTCGTTTGTTTGTTTCAAAACAGGAAATGATCACAGATGTCCAGTGTATGGATGTGATGTCCGGCTTCGTCTTCAATGACGCCACCGCACCTCAGGGCGTGACCTGTCGCCCAGACGTTGGTCTGATCTGCGTGAGCGGACCGATGGATCTGATTGGACAGACCACCAACACCGAGTGCCAGGACTACGCTGTGCGCCTGGAGTGTACCTGCTCTAGTACGTGGGGTTGTTTTTTTCTCGTACAAATACAATGCACATACACAAGGTCATAAAACTTAGAAATCAATTTCCGTATTTCACACATCTAGTGTTTTTTGGTTGGATGTTATAACTTATTATCCATTTGTTCCATCTAGCTACCCAGCAGACCACCACTACCAAGCCAACAACCACCACTGGCCACACAACAACCATCGCAGGCGGTGAGTCCACAACCACCCTGCCCATTGGAACAGTCACCACTGGTACAACCACCCAGCAAGTCACAACCACCACCAAGCCATTCAGCACCCAGGAGGTCACCACCACCAAGCCAATCATGACCACTGGCCACACAACAACCATCGCAGGCGGTGAGTCCACAACCACCCTGCCCATTGGAACAGTCACCACTGGTACAACCACCCAGCAGTTCACAACCACCACCAAGCCATTCAGCACCCAGGAGGTCACCACCACCAAGCCAATCATGACCACTGGCCACACAACAACCATCGCAGGCGGTGAGTCCACAACCACCCTGCCCATTGGAACACTGCCCACTGATACAACCACCCAGCAGTTCACCACCACAGCTAAGCCTACCACACCAACGGCTACTGCCACTGTGCCAGAGAACCCAGAAACCACCACCCTGCAGACCCTGCCAACTCAGACTGTGTCCACTGGTACAACCACTCTGCTCACACCAATCAGCACTGTGGTTGTAACAGGTACACAGAGGCCAACAACCACTGGGTCTGTGACCGTCACTGATGTTGTGACTGAGACAACCACCAAGCCAGCAACTGCTACAGCCACCTCCATCGCAACTGGCACTACCACCACCATTGGAACCGCCACCCAGACTGAGCAGTTCACCACTGGTGCCACCACAGTTACCACTCCACAGACCACCACTGGTGTCACTGTCGAAGTCTGCCAGGTACTGTCATGAAACACCTTCATTAGTTGCCTATCGTTTTCTTTACCATTCCAGATATGCAGGTTTCCCTGTGTTTTTTCTAACCATGACTTTGCATTGCAGGAGCCTCTTGGCATGGAGGGTGGCCAGATCAGGCCTGACCAGATCACCAGCTCCTCTCAGCTGGATGACCAGCACCGTCCACAGGAAGGCACCCTGAACAACAAGCCTTCTGTTGACGGCAGCGGCGTCTGGAGCCCGTCTGTTGATGACAAGAACCCGTACCTCCAGGTGGACCTCGGCACACCAACCCACGTGACTGGGTTCATCACCCAGGGCCACCCCACTCAGCCTGAATGGGTCACCACCTACTACATCACCTACAGCAACGATGGTGTCAACTTTGTGCCATACACTGATGAGTTCGGCAACCCAATGGTAAGGGTAGTCATTTATGACTTGAAAGTCCAATTCATGTATATGCCCAATGCAATGCTTTTTTTAACAGTAATTTAAAACCAATTACTGCTTTCAACTGAAAACATTACTCCCTTGTAAACAAGAGTTTCTTCTTTACTTTCAGCTCTTCACAGCCAACACTGACAACAACACCCCAGTCACCAACCTCTTGGATGTGAACAGGCCAATCGCAGCTCAGTACATCCAGATCCACCCACAGGACTTCAACAACCAGATCAGTCTGCAGTTTGAGCCTCTGGGATGCACAGGTAAGCAACATTCTTTTAGCAAATGCTGCTGTCTTACAGTTACCCTATGAGCTATGCAAGAGTTGAAACATCTTTGTTTTGTAGCTATTTAAGTTCTGACAGTTGCTGTGAATCTGTGGATGAAGAGAATCTGGTTAATGTGTCAGTTGTTCAATGCCAATTTTCCTGATGATGCTTCAAATAAATTGTGAAATTTTTTTGAGGTTGACAAGTTTGTCATGTTTTGTGATTGCAGAGACCACCACTACTATCCAGACCTTCACCACAACCACCAGGCCTGAGGTGACCACCACTGGTGTCACTGTCGACGTCTGCCAGGTACTGTCATTAAACAACTTGGTTAGTTGCCTATCATTTTCTTTACCATTCCAAATATGCAACTTGTTGTGTGCTCTTTCTAACCATGACTTTGCATTGCAGGAGCCTCTTGGCATGGAGGGCGGCCAGATCAGGCCTGACCAGATCACCAGCTCCTCTCAGCTGGATGACCAGCACCGTCCACAGGAAGGCACCCTGAACAACAAGCCTTCTGTTGACGGCAGCGGCGTCTGGAGCCCATCTGTTGATGACCAGAACCCGCACCTCCAGGTTGACCTCGGCACACCTACCCACGTGACTGGCTTCATCACCCAGGGCCACCCCACTCAGCCTGAATGGGTCACCACCTACTACATCACCTACAGCAACGATGGTGTCAACTTTGTGCCATACACTGATGAGTTCGGCAACCCCGTGGTAAGAGTTGTTGTTTGTTACTTACAAGAACAGTTTAGGTAGTTAGCTTTATTCTTAGGTGCATTGCGTTGGTTTTGAACAGTAATCCAATGATATAATAACAAGCTACTGCTTTGAAGGAAAAGATAACGATTTTACTCCTTTGTAAGCAAGAGTTTTCTTTCTTGTGTTTCAGATCTTCACAGCCAACACTGACAACACCACTCCAGTCACCAACCTGCTGGAGGCTAACAGGCCAATCACAGCTCAGTACTTCCAGATCCACCCACAGGACTTCAACAACCAGATCAGTCTGCAGTTCGAGCCTCTGGGATGCAAGGGTAACAGTTTCTTCCCATGTTGCTACAGTGCTACAGTCTTCCAAACACAATTCTTTCTCAACAGTGGAAATATCTTTATTCTGCAGCTATTCAAGCTCTGATATTTGCTGTGAAAGAATCTGTGGATGAGCAGAATCTGGTTAATGTGCCAGTTGTTTTGTGACAATTTTTGCCTACATTGCTTCAAATTTAGTTAGAATGTTTTTAGAGCTTGACCTAATAGTCATGTTTTGTGATTGCAGAGACCACCACTACTATCCAGACCTTCACCACAACCACCCCACTTGGCCAGACCACCACTGGTGTCACTTTCGAAGTCTGCCAGGTACTGTCACTTAATTATAAGCATCTCCATCAATAGATAGCTAAAGGTTACTGACTATCTTTGCCTTTCAAGATATGCTGTTTGAGGAGCAGTCTTAACAATGAGTTTCTATTGCAGGAGCCTCTTGGCATGGAGGGCGGCCAGATCAGGCCTGACCAGATCACCAGCTCCTCTCAGCTGGATGACCAGCACCGTCCACAGGAAGGCACCCTGAACAACAAGCCTTCTGTTGACGGCAGCGGCGTCTGGAGCCCGTCTGTTGATGACCAAAACCCGTACCTCCAGGTGGACCTCGGCACACCTACCCACGTGACTGGCTTCATCACCCAGGGCCACCCCACTCAGCCTGAATGGGTCACCACCTACTACATCACCTACAGCAACGATGGTGTCAACTTTGTGCCATACACTGATGAGTTCGGCAACCCTGTGGTAAGTGGGAGTTCCACTGCTGTTTCAGACAGGCAGTGCTCAGCCAGTCATTTTATGCGTGTAATAAATCTTTTTTGTTTCAAACACTATAAATTACATCCTTAGACATTGCTATGGTGAGAAATTTACTCCAGGTGTAAAATCCACTGCTTTTTTTAAGAGAAAAGATAACAATTTTACTGCTTTTCAAACATGAGCTTTTTCTTGTGTTTCAGATCTTCACAGCCAACACTGACAACACCACCCCAGTCACCAACCTGCTGGATGCTAACAGGCCAATCACAGCTCAGTACTTCCAGATCCACCCACAGGACTTCAACAACCAGATCAGTCTGCAGTTCGAGCCTCTGGGATGCAAGGGTGAGCAACAATTTCATACTCCCAGTTGAGGCAACTAAATACTATAGCCCAATCTACCTGCAGAGTCTAGGAAATGTGCCAACATCTGTGTACATTTGTACGTACTTTTATTGCTGTAATCTATGTATAGTCTAATAGTGTTTAGAGGTTTACAATAACATATTTGTCATGTTTTGTAATTGCAGAGACCACCACTACTATCCAGACCTTCACCACAACCATCCAGACTGGGCAGACCACCACTGGTGTCACAACAGCTTCCACCACCCAGTCTCAGCAGTTCACCACTGGTACCACCACCACCATTGGAACTGCCACCCAGACTGAGCAGTTCACCACTGGTGCCACCACAGTTACCACTCCACAGACCACCACTGGTGTCACTGTTGATGTCTGCCAGGTAACATCGTTTGTCTCATAGCACCACCAATCGATATATCGTAACCATTGCTGATTGCTTTATCACTCCAGATATTCTGTTAGGTGGCCAGTTTTAACCATAACTTTGTCTTCCAGGAGCCTCTTGGCATGGAGGGCGGCCAGATCAGGCCTGACCAGATCACCAGCTCCTCTCAGCTGGATGATCAGCACCGTCCACAGGAAGGCACCCTGAACAACAAGCCTTCTGTTGACGGCAGCGGCGTCTGGAGCCCGTCTGTGGACGACAAGAACCCGTACCTCCAGGTTGACCTCGGCACACCTACCCATGTGACTGGCTTCATCACCCAGGGCCACCCCACTCAGCCTGAATGGGTCACCACCTACTACATCACCTACAGCAACGATGGTGTCAACTTTATGCCATACACTGATGAGTTCGGCAACCCTGTGGTAAGTAGTTGTGTTATTACCCTCTAGATTAAGGTACACACAGCTCAGCAAATCTTTTGATAGCTTTACTCAATGCTACTCTATTCAAACAGTGAAAAATGACGACATTCATAGATGTAGAATGATGATAACTGAAATTTGCTCCTTCACAAAAATGCTTTATTTATTCTTGCAGATCTTCACAGCCAACACTGACAACACCACTCCAGTCACCAACCTGCTGGATGCTAACAGGCCAATCACAGCTCAGTACTTCCAGATCCACCCACAGGACTTCAACAACCAGATCAGTCTGCAGTTCGAGCCTCTGGGATGCAAGGGTGAGTAGCAATCTCGACTTAACAGTTACAGTCTTGCAGTAGGGCCATGATCTAACCCAAAGTATACTGACAAGGAAGTTTGAAAGAAATTTAAAATGCAGAAAGCAGTGCCTCCGCATTGGCTCCACCCCTGAGGTGCCTCCAAAAATATTTCTTGCCTGTACTTTATAATAGTCATTATATGAAGTCTAAAGATATCAAGAAGATTAAAATTGGCTTATTTGTCATAATTTGTGATTGCAGAGACCACCACTACTGTCCAGACCTTCACCACAACCACCAGGCCTGGTGTGACCACCACTGGTGTCACTGTCGACGTCTGCCAGGTACTGTCACTAAACATCTCTATCAATTGATAACTATGTATTACTGCCCTTGCCTTTCAAGATATCCTACTTAGTGACCAGTTTTAACAGCAAGTTTGCATTGCAGGAGCCTCTTGGCATGGAGGGCGGCCAGATCAAGCCTGACCAGATCACCAGCTCCTCTCAGCTGGATGACCAGCACCGTCCACAGGAAGGCACCCTGAACAACAAGCCTTCTGTTGACGGCAGCGGCGTCTGGAGCCCATCTGTTGATGACCAGAACCCGTACCTCCAGGTGGACCTCGGCACACCAACCCACGTGACTGGGTTCATCACCCAGGGCCACCCCACTCAGCCTGAATGGGTCACCACCTACTACATCACCTACAGCAATGATGGTGTCAACTTTGTGCCATACACTGATGAGTTCGGCAACCCTGTGGTAAGTGGGAGTGTTATATTGTCTTATTGAGGTACACACTGTCCAGCCAATCATTTGATGACTTTATTGAATGCCACTCTATTCAAACAGTACAAATTTATCACGTCAAATTACATAGACATTTTTAGATGTAGAATAGCAAGTGAAGTTTACTTTCTTTTAAACAAATATCCTTTCTTTGTTTTTCACAGATCTTCACTGCCAACACTGACAACACCACCCCAGTCACCAACCTGCTGGATGCTAACAGGCCAATCACAGCTCAGTACTTCCAGATCCACCCACAGGACTTCAACAACCAGATCAGTCTGCAGTTCGAGCCTCTGGGATGCAAGGGTGAGTAACAATCTCTACTTAAAATACAACAGTCTTGCAGAAGGGCCATGAGCTGTGTACTGACAAAGTTTGAAAGAAATTTAAAATTCAGAAAGCAGTGCCCCTGCATTGGCTCCACCCCTGAGGTGCCTCCAAAAATATCTCTTGCCTGTACTTTATAATAGTCTTTGTATGAAGTCTAAAGATATCTGGAAGTTTAACATTGGCTTATTTGTAATAATTTGTGATTGCAGAGACCACCACTACTGTCCAGACCTTCACCACAACCACCAGGCCTGGTGTGACCACCACCGGTGTCACAACGGCTGCTACCACCATTGGCACCGCCACCCAGACTCAGCAGTTCACCACTGCTGCCACCACCACCGTCGGAACGGCCACCACCATTGCCACCAAGCCTACCACCCTGCAGACCACTGCTGCCACCACCACCATCGCTACCAAGCCTACCACTGTGCAGACCACCACTCGTCCAGAGACCACAGTGTGCCAGGTACCATCAATACCATGGAAAATATTTCTTTGCACTTCTGAACCTTTATATCCATCTCTATGTCCTTTGTAACAA